AACCTGAGTGCTGCGCCCCGGGTCATCAGAATGTCTTGCAACAACTTCTGATGTTAGGCAATGGAGACTCTCCTCCTTGTATTCCGAAACATGTCTCGTGTGTTGAGGCAATTTGTTTGCTGATGCCATCTACTTGTTTGGTTTGTAGCTTCTGTTTCCTGTAGTGCTTTCTATTTTCTCCGAGCTGTGTTTGAAATGCTACATTGCTTGCAAAAGGGACTGTCCACCGCTGCTGTGGTAGCACTGCAACTGTGACATCATATAACATCACATAACCAAGGAGCAAAGGCGAAGGTGAAGAAAAACCAGCACCCGAGCCTGAGTTTCGTCCTTGGATCATTTTGAGCCTTCTGCTATTGTCGAATAGCCCTGCTAGCACACGTACAATACACGTACACTATGTGTAGTGATTCAAGGGGTTTTGTTTGATTTGAGATTTCTGTGAAGACTGGTAGTTTGATTTCTGCATGCGCATATTTGACATGACTTGATGAGTTTGATTTGTGTTGATGCTCGCCTGCATATTTACCAAATTTACCTGTTGAACCTCGCGACATCTCGCAGCATTATGTTGTGAGATCAATATTGGATCTTTAAGAGATCTCTATGATGCGTTTGTTCCACTTGTCTACTTGTCTAGTATGTGTAAGAACATGAGAGCATGTGAACAATATAATAGGGAAGTGTTTCTCTGAGGTCAAAGGTTGAAGACAAACCGGCAGATCAACCTGAGTGCTGCGCCCCGGGTCATCAGAATGTCTTGCAACAACTTCTGATATGTTAGGCAATGGAGACTCTCCTCCTTGTATTCCGAAGCATGTCTCGTGTGTTGAGGCAAGTTGTTTGCTGATGCCATCTACTTGCTTGGTTTGTAGCTCTGATGTCTGTAGTGCTTTCTATTTTCTCCGAGCTGTGTTTGAAATGCTACATGGCTTGCAAAAGGGACTGTCCACCGCTGCTGTGGTAGCACTGCAACTGTGACATCATATAACATCACATAACCAAGGAGCAAAGGCGAAGGTGAAGAAAAACCAGCACCCGAGCCTGAGTTTCGTCCTTGGATCATTTTGGGCCTTCTGCTATTGTCGAATAGCCCTGCTAGCACACGTACAATACACGTACACTATGTGTAGTGATTCAAAGGGTTTTGTTTGATTTGAGATTTCTGTGAAGACTGGTAGTTTGATTTCTGCATGCGCATATTTGATATGACTTGATGAGTTTGATTTGTGTTGATGCTCGCCTGCATATTTACCAAATTTACCTGTTGAATCTCGCGACATCTCGCAACATTATGTGGTGAGATCAATATTGGATCTTTCAGAGATCTCTATGATGCGTTTGTTCCACTTGTCTACTTGTCTAGTATGTGTAAGAACATGAGAGCATGTGAACAATATAATAGGGAAGTGTTTCTCTGAGGTCAAAGGTTGAAGACAAACCGGCAGATCAACCTGAGTGCTGCGCCCCGGGTCATCAGAATGTCTTGCAACAACTTCTGATGTTAGGCAATGGAGACTCTCCTCCTTGTATTCCGAAGCATGTCTCGTGTGTTGAGGCAAGTTGTTTGCTGATGCCATCTACTTCTTTGGTTTGTAGCTTCTGTTTCCTGTAGTGCTTTCTATTTTCTCCGAGCTGTGTTTGAAATGCTACATTGCTTGCAAAAGGGACTGTCCACCGCTGCTGTGGTAGCACTGCCACTGTGACATCATAGCATCCTTGGATCATGGCGGTACGAATGCCCCACATTTTGCGGGAACCATGGTTCCAACCCAATGATGTTCCCCACTTTATATGACCAATGCCAGGGCTACTTTGGATGCCTCCATTTTTGATGGAACTGATTATATTGATTTTAGACTATGTTTTTTATTTTTGTTTTTATTATGTTGTTTTCTATTAATATGTTTATTTCCATATTATACACGCATCATGCAATTATTCGGCTAAGAATCCTGTGAATATGGTGGATAGCCATGGCCTACATTTTGGCCACATCATACTTTCTGGTGTGTAGTTCCAAAAGTTCTTTGCATGCCATTCCTATTTGCTGACCTTATGCCAAATGACCTGTATGTGCATTGGTTGAGAAACATCTTGGACTATTCGTGCTCAAAACTTCTACAATTCGAAACTTCAGACCCCGCAAGCCGCAGAGGTAGATTGCAGCCATCTAATTTCTTGAGCACTTAAATCTACAAACGAATCCATTCCCCAAAAATAACCCAACCCCTCAGACACCCTGGTTGACAACTGGATTTCTGCATTTTGGGATCCCATCATTCTTACTTCAACCACCCTGGCCCAGCTTACTCCAAGGTCCAATGCCGACAGCCAGAAGAAAGAAGCCGAGTTGCTTGGAGCGATGGTCTCCGACACGTAAATACGTTGGTGATGGAATATGGGTTTAAGCAACACTCAAATTACATGTGTTTTTGGTACCCCCTCGAAATGGTGACTCACGTATTTTTTGTTGTTCATATTTATATATATATATTTATTTGTTCATCGTTTTGCCTATAAATGGCCATTGAAAAGGTGTATATATATATGTATATATATATATATATCCATATAATTGTATATATATATATATACACACCCTTTTCAGTTTTCAGATTTCAGATACACCCGTTTCTCAACTTGGCTTACTAGCAGTAGGCGCCAGTAGGCGTTGTATCAACTGGCCAAATGGTAACTTGGGGTCCCCCAAAAGTTAGGAATTCACCAACTTGTGGGGGTATCAAGATGGGGATGGGTCAAAGGCTCCGATCGCCTGCAGATGGATTCAGAGATTCTCGAGACATGAACCATTCGACATATACATATATATATATATACATATACATACATATACAAATATATATATATATACCATATGCATATATATATATAATTATTATGTATATTATATCAATAATGAGTCAATCTGACATATGGAGGTGTCCTAAGTCATGGTGGCTCCATACGCCACTGGCGGTCATCCAAGGAAGCCAGACATATCTCAGCGAAGACAGCATGGAGCCCTGGCTGTGGCTGTTGTTCGACACGAACAGCGAAAATTTCATTCTTATATGCATTTATATTATATATATATATATAATGTACTATATAAATGTACTCATATGCACTATAAATGTACTATATTTATAATGTATTTTCATTATTTTACTATAATGTACGATCTGATTATGCATAATGTACTCAGAATGTACTATCTGACTATAATATTTCTTATATCATATAGTACATTTCATAGCACACATAAAAATTGTAATAGTCTATTGTATACACATGTCTACTATTATTTTATGATTGTTGGTTTGGAACATGGATTTTATTTTCCATATATTGGGAATGTCATCATCCCAACTGACGAACTCATATTTTTCAGAGGGGTAGGTATACCACCAACCAGATATAGATGGGTGTCAGTAGGGGTCGACCTACCTCGGTTGTGATTAGTTGTGATCCCATTCGACGACATCATCTGTGCCATGTTGGAGACGCCTCTATGACGCCTCAATCACATTCCTTTTTCGTTGACATTGGTCGGAAAAGAATATCTCCAAATTCACCAGACATGGAATGTCTAAACCCTCCAAAACTGAAGCTTTGTAAACCTTACTAGTGCCAAACGTAGGGAATGGATGGGAATTGGGGTTGCTGGGATGATTATTAATAGTTATTATGGATCACTCCCTCATTCCCTACGTTTAGCACCAGTAAGTCATTGACTTCACCAGACACCGGGTCCATTTTTTTAATAGAAATGACCGGTCCATTTCTGGTCGGGCCTGAACCCCATAAAATACGTAGTTTCGTTTCGTAGCTTCCAGTAAGATCGAAAAGTCAAATCCAACTGAACGTTACTAACCTATATAGAAACATATATATATATAATTATGTATATATATATATATATATAATATGCACTTAAAAGTCAATTCCTACTGAACTAATGAAAATCAACATGATGGGTCTATATGTTTCATTTTTTTTCGGGCCGCTTTCGATATCTCCAGGCCGTCACTACTGAAGGAGCTTGGAATGAAGGCTGCCGTGGCTGTGGAGAATGGGCGATGGGGATGGGTCAAGTTACCCATATATATATAATTATAATATATATATATATTACAATATTTCATAGGTAGCTTTATATAATATGTAAATGGGCTAAATATGACATTAGCATATAATATCATTTCTTGGTGAATGAAGTTACCTATGAAATTTGCAAACTTTTTGTTTGGGTGAATCATATTGAAGAATGGGTTATGGTGTTTTGGGGAATCACCATCCATTGCCTGATTGGGAGCCCCCCCAAAACGAGACCAGACAAAAATAAGAGACAAATAGAGGCAAATAAGAGACAAATAAGGGAAAAGGTGGGATATGACAAATAACGAAAAATAAGATACAAATAAAGGCATTTAAGAGACAAATAACGACAAATAGGAGACAAATAATGGAAAATAATAGCATTTAATGGCAAATAAGGAAAATCACGTTTGGTGTCGTTTGGTGTATGTTTTGGTTTGATGCCATTGGTAACGTTCCGGATTGGATGGGTTTTTTCATGATTTGTAACATTATGGACTGCTCATTTTAGAATTATTGGGCCCAAGATATTGTGGATTTCACGTTTGATTCAACTGTTGGTCATCTGGTGCATCCCCAAAACCAAGTGGTATGGCTTTCCTTACATTCTTCACTGAATGATTTGAGATAGTGGTTGGAAAATGATCTCATAGAACACATAAACAATTTCTGTAATGCGACACAATTTCAGAAATCATTGAAACCGAACCCCAGAATGATGAACAGTCTTTTTGGTACTCTCGGCTGCTTGCTGTTCAAGCTTCTTGCTCAAGCCAGCATCATGCTGCGTGGTCCATCCACTGCAAGAATTGTAAACTTGGGTGATTGATTAAGGTTTGGATTACGTTATTGTGGATAGATCAGATTGTGAAAAATAATAATGATCTATCATCTATCATTCATTTGGGACGACCTCGACCACGTCTCCTTTTGGGGGCAGCTTCTTTTGCCACTGCTTTGGCCTTCCCCCTTCCTCTGCCAGCCATGCTTTTTGGGCCGGCAGCAGAAGAGGAGGCAGATGGCTCATGTCCAGCCAAAAACCCGGTGTCTTTGTTAAACGAGTTCACCACGTCTTTGATTTTCTGATCAGTTGGCCTCAGAATGAGAGGTTGAATCAAACAGGTGAACAACAATATGAAAATTGACCATGGTGAGTTTGTACAATGCATATGTTATGTGACATTACTATTTAGCAGCGTTCTGTTGAATGTCTTAAATCTGCATTGTGTGATATTTCAATTCTACCTAGGCACATTTTGTCAACATCCTCTGGGTGAAGGATAACATGCTTGGCCCAAACGAAGTCTATGATGCAATCTCGCAAAGCCTGATATTCTGTCAGCTGCTTCAGCACACCCCCCCACGTGGAGGCTCTGGAGTCCAGAAAGCCATCGACATCTCCTTAGTTGGAGGAGGACGTGTTCGGCTTGATGTCAAATTTGGGGAGATGTTCATTCAAGAGAAAACCGGATAAAGTAACGTTTGTCAGAAACACTTGATAGGACCCACAAATCCGAATGCATTTTTTCAAAAGTGCAATACAGTAGAAAGACACTCTGCTGAGACAGTCTTGGATTTAACGATGCATTCTTCTTTCTACGACATACTGTGGCTAAATATTCTTGTGGGGCATTATTTCTTTCAAGACTCTTGCTGGACACTCTTGTGTTTTCTTTCAACATGAAAAAACATGTTCACTTGCTAAATGAATCCGTGCTTCCAGGGTAGAAGGCTTGGTACCTGCAAAAAATGGGGTTTCTGTTGCAGGAAGCATTTGTTCCAACAGGTAGTAATGACTTCAATGAGGAAGGTGTAAAGGTCTTGAATTCCTCCCTTTCGAGAGTAGGTCCACGTAATTTCCTCTCCTTCTCTACTGCCTCTTGGTTGAGAGCTATATCATAGACATAGGAAAAATCACGTTCTCCTTCAGCACCTAGCTCCTTTACTGCCTTGATGATGTCTTGTGCACATTTCACTTTCGAAATTCTCTTTCCCATAATACAGTCAATCATGAACTTCTTGTCGCCTGGCGATGCATCAGGGTGCAACAAGTTCACAAGAGATGTAGCGTAATCGAGTTTCACAACTGAACCATTCTTTCCTGAACCGGAACCACGAGCCGGAAGCCCGAACTTCAGAATTTCATGTAGCTTTTCAAGGTGGGGAAGGGTAAAGCTGACACCTTGCTGCACAGCACTTTTCAGAAGCGGCTGGGGCTGACCCACAATCTCCCAGGCACTGCCAAATGCTTGCAAATGGGCAGGCAACTCTGAATGTAGCAAGAGCTTCGTAGGTAACATTGTCCACTTCCCTTGCCCCTCCAAGTCAACGTCGTTATTCATCATCCATGTATGAGCTGTTGCAACATTGTCTGATGCATGTATATATTCCTGGAAGGGGCGTTGACTGACTAACTACTGCAAACAGATTCTGAATTATTTAAATAAACAGTAACAGTGGCCCTTGATTCATCATAAATATTAATAATTATTTGGTCTAGTCTACCTGATATACATATCCTGAATACAATATCCCATTGTCTTATTATTCTTGCCTTGTCACCAGCCCGGGAACGCGCCAATGGGAACCCCAATGCTGCGTATGTCTGGAAACCCAAGCACATGAATGGTTTCCCAGCCCTGTTCTGGTAGATGCATTTTTTCAGGAAGAAGGCACCTGATCAGGCAGAGGCCTAATCACCCAATAATGATTCAAGTCAAGTCCATAAGAAACAGATACTTTAAATATTAAACCCTAGACTAGATAAGATTCGATGTATTTTATAGGTCTTGATTGAATACTTTATTTGTTTGATGTCCTTTGAAATGTGCTGTTAGTCTAAACCGTCGTTTTAATCAACAAAAATGGACTGCATCAATAACACTGGACTTACCTGTCCATGCCATCGGACCGTTCACAAAGTTTTGCTCGGCGTTTGCAAGGACCCATGCTGTTGCCGCTGCAGCCCTTTGGTTGGCCGCTGTCCCAGCGCTGCGCTCAACTTTCTTGAGGTTGCTTACTTTGAAATTCACTGCTTTCGGGATCACAAACCCACCAGGCACTGTGAACACTTTTCCTTTCCGGGGTTCTTTGTTCAACGTGGGGTCCACATGTCGTCTCATTGATGCAGTGAAATCTTCTGGTGTTGGCTCCACTTGGGGCCATTGTAAATCTTTGTGCGAGGGAACCGTCGTCATATAAAAGAACTTGGACCACCTCATTTGCTCATAACTTGACAACAATCAAATACTATTGATGTATACAATCCAAATCAGATAGTAAGAGCAATTAGTAGAGAATGAAGTAAATAGGAGGTTCAACCCTCACAGCATGTAATTCCAACCAGTAAATATAGTAAAACAAAACACTATCACTAACAAACAAAAAGAGCTATAATTTTCAAATGAGATTCTTGGACAGTTTCATGTTCCGGGCTATCCGTTTGATTACATCAGCCAAATGGGAGAAACAGTCCTCTAGGAAGAACTTTGTGTTCGCCGGTGGTGCAAAAAGTAGAAACGACAGCTTCCGTACTTCAGAGTCAGCTGGAGTCCACCCTCCCTCCAAATCAAGTAGATTTCTCTTGCCACCTGACCACGGTTCCATCCCAAATCATGCATCACCTGCTGCAACGTTGCTCGAACTGAGGCATCGATGCGTGTATCCTGCAAGGCGTCCTCGGCCTTCAGTACTGCTTCCCAGAGTTTCTTGATGAACTGCAGTCCGGTTGTGCGCTGGTCTGGGTCTACATGATGCACAATGGAAAATACATTGGGCAAACACATAGTATATTGACACTGACTCCAGCAACGTGCTGATGCAATTTCTATACACAATTTGGCATACTTCTCCAAAATTTCGAGTTCGTCGGCCATGGTGTCACGAGACCCACTCATTGAGATGTGCAGGTTCTTCATTGTATCTGGGGTATTGATGGAACAAATAGTTTCGACGACTGTAGGAAACCAAGTTTGACCTTTTGCCCGAGCAGCTCTCCATCTGAGAGTTTTTTCCTACCCCAGGGTAATACAGCGATGGTATACAATATGTTTTATGATGTTTTGGAATAATGAAATACTGAGGGGGTGTGGGTGTCAATACACTTCAACAAATTATTCAAAAAACATTTTAATTTAAGGGTTCCCATCGGTCCTGCCCTTGCTGTTGAATTTCGAGGTTGTTCTGATACTCCCGTAGCAATGGACGCGCTGCGAAATACATAGCTTTGAATTCCAATGCCAATATCGGATCTTGGTGAAAGTGACATGCTAAGTGCAGATTGTTGGTGAAATTGGCCTTAAGTTCATTCAGTTCTTTCCGGGTTTGAGGGCGGGCACGCCCATCATCCCCCTCGCCAGCATTCCCTGCCATCGGGTCATTTCCGATAGGTTCATCACCGTCCTCAGTGACAGGGAGCTCCGACAAAGATAGCGGTGACAGGACCAGCCACTAGTCAGTCAGTAATTTATGGGACATGGATTGGCGTGGTGGGATAAGTTGAAATAACATGATATTACCCAACTTAGTTACCTTATCATGCAACTTAATTGAATATTGAACAATTTTATAATCATAAACTGAAACAATCCTGCCAAAATTCGTCCTCCATTTCAACATTGCCCATTTCATCGTTGCCAGTTGAAAGCTCAACAGCCCGCCCCAGGATCAGGGAATTCAAGCTCCAATCCAGCGCAAGCCGGTACAAGGCGATCACGGCTTGGAACCAGCTCTTTTGCTTTGCCTGAGTCAAGTTGGAAAGCCCCATTTCAAAAAGTCAGTCAGGGAGACTTCCATGTCACATGTTTTTTTGTTTCAGTAATTAATATAAATTGTTGAATCAACTGAAGCTTCCAGAAATTGAAATGGTTTGTCGATCTGTCAGCCAGTTTACTTACTTCACTTCCAACCGTCGTAACATTGTAGCCCAATGAATTGAACACTCACCTATTAATACATGGAGTTCCAAACCCTTCAAAAGCTGATGAATCCAAAGTACGTAGATAGGGAGATTTTCCACACTGTCAAGTTCAGGAATGTCCGCTGGCGTTTCTGGAACACCGTTAGTATCTCCATAGCGATCTTTCAACATGGCCTCTCTGAGTGTTTGAAATTCAGAATGACCAATAGTTTTGGCAATCATTTGAGCTGTTTGCTGCTTCGTCCATTGATTTGATCCAGATAGGAACGGACCATGGGCCGCCTGCGACATGACTATGCCCAACAGTAGTGCTGGTTGAAAGTCTGCACGTTTGTAACTGTTTTTAAGGTCGTTCCAGCAACAGTGAAGTGACTCCGGCTCCACATGCAATCTGAGGTGACAGTTGTGCACCAAAGCCCAAAGGGACTTGAAAGACAGACACTCTTCGTCTGGAGACTCGGCACATGAGCGGGTCCCGGGTGAGAAGGGCTACTGATACATAGACATATAAAACTCATGAGTGAGTGAAGTTGTTTGAAACAGGACCTGACTTCGTTATCAGAATCACCATGTCCATCCGTTGATTGATTAATAGTTGATTTTAGTTTGAATGAGTTATCCTGACCAAAAGAACTATCCCAGTTAAGAAACAGCCGTCAGTAGAGGTCTTTCAGAAACCGTGGAAGGAGATAGACGAGTCGACATTTTGTCCCTGGGCTTGCAAACTTGTTCAGGCACAAAGATTTCGAGTCCGTTCCCAAACGTCGTCTTCATGCTGTTCTGCAGCCCCTTGACCACTGCCTCAGAACGGTGGATGCGAGCGGTCTACTCGTATCGTATGAATTATTCTTCATTAATAACTTCAAGATGGGACGTTCACATGATATATATATATATATAATCAGAATATATATATACATAACTTCATCCTGAAAGAATTTTTTAACTTTAATTACATGATATGTGTATATATGTATATAAATGTGGCTATGGGTAAAATATTTTGCATCCCTGGTCGTGTCATCGGGCAATTGAATACTAAAAAGTACCGTAATTTGTGGGGTTGACTCTTGTAAGAGTAATCACATACCCCTCAATGAACCCCAATTAAATGATTTAGTTTTGTTTTACCCGACCCATACACACATATTCATGTATATATATAATATTGTTTCTTGTCTGTGTGAGACACTGACGTTGTGCCCAGTTGCCACCATCCCAAAAATTGTTTTTTTGCTCCGGGCAGACAGTTCAGAGGCCATCTCCATTTCTTCAGCTCCCACATTCCTGAGTGATGTTGGCGCACAAAATCTTTGCATACCTGAGGAGTATCAACTAAAAGACAAACACCTTACTAAGCTAAGTACACTAGTAGTCTGTTGCTTTCAGATTTATAATTCATTCAACACAGAAAGATTCGAAATTTGAAATGTGGCGACTTAATTTTAATGATTTATGATGATCATGATCTCCATTAATCAGCACGTCACCATATTTCACTGACTGACTCAGTGCCTACTAATGGCTTAGATAAATCTTCCTGTCCACCAGCTGCTTCAGACCCAGGTGCTGTAGCGTGAGCTCCTTCGCTTCACAAGCCCATTGCGGCAGTGCCTCAGTCCGACATTTGAAATGGCCGACATTTGAAATGGCCGAGCTTGCAACTACCAAGTGATGGGTTGAATGTATTTAAAAATTATGGTGGTTTCATTTCATGTATGGATATAGTAGTCCCTTACAACATGCCTTGAAATTGGTAGCACTTTCATTCATAAACCTTTGCAGCACTCACGTAATCTAGTGGAACCGGTAAATCATTTTCAACTTTGTGCTGCAAACCCTTTCGCCATACTTGCAGCAGAATGGGCCCCACTGACTGAGACTGACAGCGCCGATTGACTGTCAGCAAAAGCAGTCAACATCAATAAACATCATTGAAAATAGTAGTAATAAGTATGATGATCAGCTGACATTCATCACTGGAATCAAATATCGAAAATGAAAAATGATAATAGTGGCATCGTTGTCAGGTATCTCAATCAGACTCTGTGCTAGGGCAGCTGGCTGCTAGATGGCTGGCAAGTCGGCTGATGGTATGTATGACTGCATTGCGTAGGGCATGCAACTGCCAGCAGGAAAATCAAACCTGAGATTTACTCAGATACTCGCTCTCAGATTGAAATGAGACTCAGGCTGACCTCTGATGACTAGTGTACATCATAACGAGAGTGGTCAATTCAAATGCCATCATTGATTCCAAACAACATTAAATTACGAAGTGAAAAAAAAACATGCCATTGTAAAAACTCACACTTGGTTTCTTTACTGGATCCTAATGTTTTGACTATTCTCATAAATCACAAGCCAAGCTTGAAACAAATCCCGACCACTCCAAACTTATTGTTTGCCACGTCTGCCACGTTGGTCCTACTCAGGAACAGTTCAGAAGATCAATTGCCGTCACTGCAAAATGCCTTCAGCTTCTCACTCTTTGGTCCTGTTGCCACAGGACGGTCGGACATGTTGAGTTTGGCTTGGGACTGGAAGAATCAACTTAGTTCAGATCAGAAATTAAAATCAAGCTGACTTGGAGTTTTGGGTTATCCCCAGCGATACAACACACTGTATCTGCCATATGAATGAACTAGTATCATAATCATTCATTGACAATTGTTTATTATACATATGCTTTCTACTTGATTGTTTGCTGAATGATCATCGATTCCACTCTTTTTTTTCATGTCAGAGCGCCTCAGTCTTTCAGTCAGTCTCAGCCTGTGTGCAAATGGACCATAAATTGTCATATGCCAGGCATTCTGAGATTCATCTCGGATCTAAATCTAATCATCCGATCAACCAACAATAAATTTGCCAGCCACTGTCACTGGCTATTTCTTTTGAAAAAGGGATGAACGCGACCCTTGGTGGATTTGGGTGAGCTGGCTCTGCCGTAGGGCCTACTTGAACTAGATGAGTGCCGCTGATCATTGCCAACAACATTAAGCCAATCCACTTTTTCAGGGGTCAAGAGGATATCAAGATCATCACCAGTAACTTGACCATTGGACACCCGCTGAACAGACATGCCTAGAGGCATCGCATTGCACTCTGCCCGTGACACACAGCTCGTGTTTGAACTGTAGTCACTCACTGTCCTTTCAGACTTTGCCACAGTAGCTTTCCCATTCTGCTCATGACTACTGGGTGTGTGTGCCAAGGATTCATTCCCATCATGGCACTCACGATTCATTGGACTCATGATGGTACTATTGGTTTTTCGATTTGGAGTAATGAAGTTCACATCCAGCTGGGGCGAAAAGGTTCCATCACGCTCACGGTTCTGTGGACTCATGATGGACTTGGTTGTCCGATCAGGAGTCTGGAAATTCACATCGAACCCAGTCAAGGTAGTTCCATCACGATCTTTGGATCCTGGAGTGTTCGTCAAGTCAATAGTGCCCATGGTTGGGTCAGGACGAAGATTCTCAAGGTTGATAGCCTCTCCAGTTTCTCCCACGACATTTCCAAAGCCTTCTGAAGCACAAAGTGATTGATTTTTTCCATGACTTACCCCTGCGTTGCAATCACCATGGTGGTCAATTTCTGTGGCTTCACCCTCATAAGCCACAGGAGGGTCAGTGATAGCAACTGGCTGGGGTCTATTTCTCTCATTCCACGGATCTTCATGAGCCCGAAGTCCCGAGTACAGCTTTGCATAAACTCCAGAATCTGGATAATGCCCACTGAAAAAGGTTCTGGGACTTGGGGTCCTAGCAAACTCCGGAAGATGATGGCACATCGGGTTAACCGGGGCCATATTCACTGCAACCCACTCATTTGCGCCAGGACCAGCCATGACGATGGACGTGGAGAATCAGCCACTAATCTGCACACAAGACTTGGGAATTGATATGCTGGTTTGATCAGAAAATAACATAGCACGGAGCGGGCACATGAAGAAAGTTGATTGGACGACGATAGGGGTACCTTTCTAAACTGATGATAAGTTACTCATTGATTTCCCATACCACCACAAATCAGAATATGAAATCATTTCATCGTGGTTTAGTGACTTGTAGCGCACTTTGTTTAGACAGTCAGCCAGCCAAAGACTCACATAATGACATACATAGTTGATACATCACCGGCAAAGATAACTTGGCTCATCACTGGCAAAGAAAAAACTAACAAGTCATACTAAGTCAAGGAAAAATGAAAAAAGTAAGCAAGGAAAAGTCAAGAAACTTAAGAAATGGAGAAGGAAGTACAGACAAATAAGAGAAACATAGAGGGAGAATTATTGAAACCAAGGTGAAAAATAAGGAAAAATAAGGAAACCTATGGAAAATTAAGGGAGTTTCAAAACCAAGGTAGAAAATAGTGAAAAATAAGGAAGCAGTGGAAAATAATGAACAATAAGGAAAAAATAAGGACACATAATGAAAAAATAAGGAAAATAAGGAAAAATAATGAAAAAAAACGAAACATATAGTGAACAATAAGTGAAAAATAAGGAAGAAATAAGGAAAACCACAGGAACAAATAAGGTAAAAATAAGGAAACATAAGGAAAAAACGAAACATATAGTGAACAATAAGCGAAAAATAAGGAAAAAATAAGGAAACATAAGGAAAAATAGTAAACATTAAGGAAAAATAATGAACAAATAAGGAACAAATAGTGAAAACTAAGGAACAATAAGGAATAAATAAGGAAAAAATAAGGAACAAATAAGGAACAAATAGTGAAAAATAAGGACAAATAAGGAACAAATAGTGAAAAATAAGGAAAAATAAGGAACAAATAGTGAAAAATAAGGAAAAATAAGGAACACACAAGGAAAAATAAGGAAAAATAAGGAACAAATAAGGAAAAATAAGGAAAAATAAGGAAAAATAAGGAACAAATAAGGAAAAATAAGGAACAAATAAGGAAAAATAAGGAAAACTAAGGAAAAATAAGGAACGAATAAGGAAAAATAAGGAACAAATAGTGAAAAATAAGGAAACATACGGACAAATAAGGAACAAATAGTGAAAAATAAGGACAAATAAGGAACAAATAGTGAAAAATAAGGAAAAATAAGGAACAAATAGTGAAACATAAGGAAAAATAAGGAACAAATAGTGAAAAATAAGGAAAAATAAGGAACAAATAGTGAAAAATAAGGAAAAATAAGGAAAAATAAGGAAAAATAAGGAACAAATAAGGAAAAATAAGGAACAACTAGTGAAAAATAAGGAAAAATACGGACAAATAAGGAACAAATAGTGAAAAATAAGGGAAAAATCAGGAAAACATAAGAAAAACTAAAGGATTTAGTATGGTTTCCCATGGTAGTATTGGCCACCCAAGACATTCCCTACACCACCAGTCCTCAGTTTGGAATTGTGGCTTTCTTTGCAGCTCTTTTCACTTCGGTCTCATTTGCCTTTCTTTTCTTTTCCTTCTCATTGATATCAGTTTCCTTCTCCTTAGGATCCTTTTCCTTCTCCTTAGGATCCTTTTCCTTCTCCTTAGGATCCTTTTCCTTCTCCTTGCTCTCCTTTTCCTTATCCTCACAATCCTTATCCTTAGCCTCGACCTCCTCTTCCTTCGGCAGGCCAGTTGCCTCTGGTGTGACGTTGCTGGCTGTGGGGCTGATTTTTTCTGACGTCTCTGGCTTGTCTGCATTCTCAGAAGGCTCTTGTGTCTCTGTGGGTGTGGGTTTCTTGAATGCTTCAGCAGCAGCTGCTTCTTTCGCCAATTTGTCCTTCATCTCCTGCTCAATTTGACTCCTCAACTCCTTTTCAGCCTGTGCACGGGCAGCTGCTCTCACAGCGTTCATCTTCTCTTCCTCTTCCTTTCTCTTGGCCTCTGACTCTGCTTTCTTCCTGTCCTCCTTTTCCTTTTCTTGTCTTTTAGCGTTTTCTTCATCTACTTTCTTCTTGTCCTCCTCTTCCTTCCTCTTGGCGTCTGCTTTCTTCCTGTCTTCCTCTTCCTGTCTCATTTTCGAGGTATCGTCTTGATTCTTGTTTGAAGTCTCGTGCTCTTTCTTGTCCCCCTTATTCTTGGTCTTTGCTACTTCCTTCATGCTCTGGAGATCAGCTTCAGGAACTTGGGAGAACTTGATTTTTGAAACCCATTGGGATTTCATGCTCTTGTTTGGGGTGTGCAGGAACACTTCATTCTCACGTTTTCCCTTTGATGTATTGACAGCCAGCTTCCAATCACCATGTCCATCCTTCCCCAAGTCACTGCCCTGGAGCGTTTCACCATGATGGCAAAGCACGTAGGTTCTCCCATCTGGAAGTAGGTGAACGGAGTAGCCATTCAGTGACTCCTGCTGAAGAAAGTGCTGGAGACTAGTTTGTCAGGAGTGAATGGGTTAAATGCTCAGCTGTTTTTTGACTGGATCAAAAAGTACAACGCTGTTTGCACTTAATCCTTGGAAAGTAAATATTTGCACTGTTAAATTTAAATGAAGAAGGTACAACAATGTTTGCACTGTGAAAAGAAGAAGATGGTTCCTTGGAAAGGTCAGGTTCATCATCGTCAGAGTCAGGCAGTGAAGGCGATGGTGATTCATCTTCAGACTCTGGAGCAGCAGGGCCAGTACCATCACCTGGGCTATCTGATTCAGAAAAATGATATTTTCCAGAAATGTGTAATGCTGTAAGTTAAGTGCATTGGAGAAGAGGTTATTTGACTTGACCTGGGCTAAAAACACATCGGAACATAAAAACTGCAGGTAAATAAACGGCAGGGAAACCAATAAATATTGTGCTGATAATCCAAATGACCCAGCTTGCAAGGCCTCCCCTCATTAATCTCTGTCATCCACCCTTTGCCGCATTCATTGCAAGTACTCCGGGCATAGTTGCAGTAACAGACAGGTTTCTTGTCTGCCGGTGTTGCTGGTGCTTGTTCGCCCCCCTCATCATTGTCATCACCTGATAAATATATATATATATGATAGACATGGTAAAATCTGGGACAACAGTGGTGTGAAAGGCTTCGGTAATTTCAAAAAGAACCATATTATTTTCGAAAAACAACCGGCACTAGACTTTCCTCAACATTTATCATTTTTTTGGACAGGAATGGCCTGCTTTGTGAATCTCAGGAATAGTGTTTTCTCCCGGTAGTGGCACAGGCATGGCTTTGATTTTGGCAGGCTTCGAAGCCGGTGCCGCTGCTTCACTATTGGCTTCTGCTGACTGAAAGAAAACCACACAATGGACCGATGATTTCCCATCACTCACAAACGGAACTCCTGTCTTGGGATCCTTGTAGATTTCATCTTTCCAGGGCTTGTTGGGAAGGCTCACCTTCTTTTTACCACAAACAAGAAATTGCTGTTTCCCAACCCTCTCAATGCTGAATTCCAAGTTCCGGCTGAGCTCAATCTCCACAGCGTGGATAATTTCCGGCAGAGTCTTGTTGTGGCCAGGGCGCTTCAATGACTCGTACTGGTCAACCAGGTCCTTCCTGATCTCACCCTTTGTCTTCCTCGAGATTGGAAAAATACAACATGGCCGGTGGTTTGCTTAGCAGTGACATCATTGTCATATATTAATAAATTCACACATATATATATAATTATATATAGGAGTATGAAATTGATTAGTAAGTAGTAAGAAGAAAAGTTATGACCAGGTCAACCAAACACAATTCAATGTAAGTGTCTTCTCGGGTTTTTTTCCTGGTGGCTGGCGAAAATAACCGAAGAATGCACGTCGCAGCTCAACTGGAGTGAGGTCATTGGTCTTCATGCTGCTAGCTGCCAAGGGTTCCACAGAAGCCATGAAATCTCGTAGATGGGCTTCCTCAAATGTCAAACAAGTTGAGCTAATTGAATGTATTGAAGAGGCAGGAGGGAAACAGGAAAACTATTTCGAACAATCACAAAACCACGAATTTCAAATGATATGACTTGACAGAAAACCATCGCAAAACTATAGTAAATGTTGCAAGGATCGGGAACTGCTCTCCATGCCGAATACCGGAAAATTTGATTGTCGCCCTTATAGGAATTCCTCGACTTAACCTGCCTTTTCTGGGCGGCTTTTGTCTTCCCCTCCTTCTTCACCTTACGCTTTGGCTTCCCTGCTCCTGCATCCTTTTTCGTTTTGGATTTGGCTGCTGCCTTGGCTGCTTTCGATTTGCCTGCCGCTTGTTTTGACCTGCCTCCTTTGACAGACTTCATTGTGTCAGGTTCACTTGCATCACTATCATCGTCTGTGCCTTCCGACTCTTCTGATTCATTCGGATCATCTGATTCTTCACCAAAATCACCAAAGGATCCATCATCAGGGAACTTCAATGCTGCCGATGGCATGACAATACCACTAGTCTCAGCAAGACTGGTGAAACAGTCAAATCTAAGTAGAAACGACCTACGGCTGAGCCAATATTCAACCCTGTAATCACAAATCAGCAAAATTGCAATCAGGATTTTGGGCTGATGATATAAAAATAGATTGGATGGATTTCATTCATTCACGATCAGTTTTAATCCCTCTAATTTACTTACCTCCAAGCTAGTACGAAAGCTCATTCCAAAAGCAGCTGATTGAAAAACAGGCTGCCTGAAAATTCCAACTCTCTGCAGTTCTCACTGCACTTTGCCAACAGTGACTGAAAACATTGCGAGTGTCGGTTTTTGCTGGCTTCATTGAAGGGTATGTCACATTGACCGCACTGCTCAGTAAGTGGCTACACTGAGGCTGGTACGAGTCTCAGTCTCATCAAATTTCACATCTCAGTGGGTGTGATGTAGTAATCAAATAACCGTATTTGCTTTTCATTTTTTTGGGAACATCAAAAAAGAGAATCTGTAGTTAGCTTTTGACGTACCAGCCTCCATCAGAACATGGGCCCAAAGCAGCTCAGGGCTATGAGCTGTGCCACACCCACTGTTGTAAAGTTCATAGCATTTCCTGCTAGATCACTTGCCCTTAGCACATCCTGTGAAGGAGTCACTGGACAATTCATGGCTTTTGCCATTCCAGGGACTACCGGCCAGCCCATCGTGGCCAACTTTTCCCTCGAAATCAAGAAACGCTTGAAGTAGCTACTCCAAAATAGGCCGGTCTTGCAATTTCTTCGAAATGTCGGAATTTGATTGTTCCGGGCAGACCAGCTTTTCCAAGAACCCCCATTGTCCCCAAGAAAGACAACTAAGTCCTGATTGGTGGACGGGTCCTCCCCAAAAATTTCCAAATAGGCAGTTTGGTATGACTGCAGTGATGTTTTTTCACGGTCAGTCAAAAGGTACGTCAAATCCAACTGCCTGGGTTTGAAAGAAATGTTTCTTTTGAGAGCTAACTTCTCTGCTTCCTGCAAAACTTCTGGAACCGTTGCAAAAAAGTAGTCAGAAGGTCTGGTTTGGACCTTACTGATCATTTTCTTTGAAATGAAGTCCTTCATAGTGTGGGGATCAAATTTACAAGACGTCAAATCATGGTGTGCTCCGATGACGTAGGTCCTGTCCCGAGAAGCACCCTTGTGTCCAGTGTCCTTTGCGCTGAAGAAGAGCTGGTATAAGTCATATGATGGATGGGTCTCTTCCACCATGCCAATGTCCAATTCCTTGGAAGTCATTGTTGGTTCATTTCATTGGATAGGTCCACTGGAGTCAGAATAATATTAAACCCCAACAAGGTATTGTAACATAATAAAAGGTACCAAATTTTGATTATCCGTGCAAATGTTTAAAATAATCTGAAATTTCAAGCTGAGTCTCTGGTGTACACTCTATGGTAATTAGAGGAACCCGCTTTGTCTCAGTGTACTTCCCATGCGTCATATAGATGGAGTTGGTGGGACCGTGGCGTTTCATTTGATGACCGCAGCGGCTCATGTCAGTACATGGTAACCCACTACATCCATAGTCAGCAGAAGGAACAGTACACAACGACGAATGGTCATCACCATGGGAATGCGTGTTGCACAACTGCTCATCTACCAATATTGACCTGCAAATCCTTCTCTTCTTGACATTGTAGGAATCCTGAAGACTGAAAGTGCCATAGTCGTTCAAATCCAAGATATTCCCAAAAAAATGGGGCATCGGGTGGTCCTTCCCTACAGTCTGCATACACCAGAGGTGGTTGTCAAAGAGAAGCTGATTGCAATTGGATGCGTTTTCCTTAGTCGGTTCAAAAAGTGGATGGGGTTCATGTAGTATTTAGATCTCATCGGGACTGACAAAAACTTGTCATAATAATCATTGATTGTTACAATTCAATTTTAAAAACCATGTAAAATACATTGCAATCTATTCGGAAAAAAATCTTATGGCCATAAAAATCCTCATCATAGGTTCCCACAAGGCCACTGTTTGGATGTCCATTTCCAGTGTGCAGCCGGGCAAAGGAAACTTCTGGACAAGAGATTGGAGAACAGCCCGGGACGCTTCCGCAGTTCCAGCACCACTACACATTGAGAAGGCCGTCTTACATGCATATAGCCAGGAATCCTTTTACAGGGGAAGTGGGCCCAGTGGACATGACGTGCTTAACGACGGAGTATGGATTGAAGAAAACAAATAGTGGTAAATCAGGGGTTTAAAAAAATAAAATAGAAAGTGGGAATCACTATTACTATGCGGACTGAATTTCACTGCCTTGCCTGGACTCTTGGCACGTTCTTCTTAACTAGGCTCCACCCAACTGCAATTGAGTTTGAAGCCAGGCTCATTCGGTTCCAAGACTCCTCCTGAAAAGGGAAGGAACATGATTCATGATGATGTCCAACATAACATGATATATATATATATATATCCAATATAATATAACACATAATAATATTACATGAGGGATTGTCACAATTTAATACATAGTTTTAGTGGTATGCTAATTATATAACCGTAAATGGAAAAGCAACAAAGATACTTGTTGGAACACATTCAGGGGTTCCACAATCCACTTGCCAAATAAATGATTCAGTCGGTTTCTTTACACATATAACGGATTTTCCAATTTCAAATGAAAGCAGTCCTCTTTTTCAACAGAAAGTGCCAAAGACCTATGACAGCTTGACGTTTCATCGGTTCTGGCGAAACCACTGCCGCTCTCACTTTCACTATGCTCGCCAGGCAACAAGTGCAAACCAGCCATGACAGGGGATCCGGCGCTGGCCAGTGAGGCTGTCTCACTGTGGGCTGGTGGTGACTGGCTGATTGATTGGGTCAAGCAGATAGCTACTTGACTTATGATGGTGATTCAACTCAATGAGTAGTACTGAGAATCAAAACTGATGAATTGGGCGCATTGGTCATGAATCATTACTCTTTATTTTATGACAATGTGGAGTTTAATGTTGTGCCCTGACAATTTGAGCCTAGATAAACTGAAAAGGGCCCGCAGCAGTGCCCGTCAGTCAGCCACAATCTCTCACAGAGAAGCTTCCGATCGGCTATTTGCAGCCCAGATGCCAATGGTGGTGAATAGCAGGAGAGATTGATATCAGGACCTGAAACCCGGTTGACAGATTGGATAATGATTAATATGACATCATCCCCTTTTCTAGTTATTTCAAATTTACCTCCTCCAACATTTTTTGATGGATGGTATTTTTGCCATATCATAATAATACATCATCCACTAAATTATCAAACAAGAGGAATGATGGCATAGGCTGATTATGTGGTTTTCCCGTGATAACTATTTGAGTTTTAGGCTGAGCGGCAATGCCAAGCATAGCCTTCCAAGGGCGCTTTCGCAATTGAGGTTCCGTCAAAGCCCACCTGGACTGAGTGTGACTGTGACTACATTGGGGGGAGTCGTACTTGTTCATATTCTGCTTTGATATTTTCCTGATTTGATGACATCCCAATTCCAACGCCTGCTAGAATGCTGGAATCCACCGGCGGCATCATGTTTCAAACCAAGAGGCATGACGATGTATTTCAGGGCCAACTTCCCGTTGACACGCTCGTATGTAGGCAACCTTAGGCTGGACTGTGGGAATTCTCAACTGTTTTCATGTAATTAAAGAATTTATGTGATTGAAATTAAGTATTATAATACTCTATTTGTTGTTTCATCTCAATAATAATGAGTAAATAAGAAGATCTAGAATCAATAGATGCATGTCATGACATAATTTCTCCACGTAACCGAATACCGCTCAGCTGTGTATGCACTGTAGTAGGAGATCTTGTCGTGATCAGCTGTCTTGAAGAAGTTGTGATTCTTAAACGCTGCTGACAGAAAGTGTTCCTGGGCCCACACAACATAAACCCAAGTTCAAGTGGGAACCATTTCTCACCTAACTTGTTCCCTCAACAACACCCCAAATTTGAAATAATACCACTGCCTGATCTCATTTCAATTTCATCAAACTTGGTTGGTGATCTATCCGAATCTATCCTTTCTTCAAAAAATCATTATATAATTCAAGGTAAGCTTCAGCATGTGTTTTGACCTGCAAAATTATCTCCCACAGAGTGCTGGGATTGTTCCGCTGCCGCTTGAAACGCAACATCGTCCTTGCCTTTTTGGTGCTCATGCCAGAAACCACATCGTCGAAGCATGCATCCTGAGCTGGCAACAGTTACTCTAGTTGTGAGGTAAGTATTCAATTCAAATACTTGTTCTGTCTAACCTATTGAAACAATTACACTGTAATCATACACGTACACAATATTTGTTTGTAGACAAATCCCAAAAGTCATTGCCTGCTAATAGTCATGGCAATATGAATGCTAATGAAAAGTTAGTAGCACGCATTTTAATTCTATAATTTTCATTCCCAGCCAAAGATTCAAGAGTACCCGCTGCCTGGGCCAGCAGTGTATATGTGCTCTCCCGCAAGAACTTGGGGCTGGTCCTCAGTCAATCGGGGATGTTATCGTATTAAAAGACTTCAAAAATAAATAAATGCAGTATTTGATTTTTAACCATCAAGTATTTGACACACAAAAAAAATATCCTTAATAATCACCAAGTATCACATCCAATGAAAACACCAGGAATGATGACCAGTCAATATGATTTCCCCATCCTCCATAGATCCATGTTTTTCTCACGTCCTCTCATGCCAGCTACTTACACTGACTGTATGTTTATTGGGGTTGAAATTAAACTTAATCTTAAGACTTAAACCAGAAGAAAACAAACATATTTATATATATATATAGATACACATCTTGTTATTGTTGTAATCCTGTAACAATTTAACAGTGACCCGATGTAGTATTAGATACAGTAATATAATATTTTTGGGTGAATTCTTGAAACAAAAATTGACACCCTGGGTCCTGTGCATCCTTGTTCCAAGCACGCTTCAATTGTTTGAGGGTGTTCTGACTCGAATCAGATTGACTCATAGCACACAAAATGGATGAAGGGAACATGCCACTCGTTGGAACATTCACTTGGAATTCAGTTCCATCTGAACTGAAACGGGCTTTAACATCGCATGATTGAACCATCTTCTGCAGTAGCTCAAACAACAGTTTGGATGCAGCATATCTGTACTTAGAAGGACTTCTGGCGGCAGTGATCTGAGAACACAATGCAGCAAAAAGCATCGATGTGGGGATAGTGTTCTCGACGAAGAACTGATTCGTAGCCCCTGGGTTCTCATCCTTCCCTTTTTTCACGGCGGAGGACTCAAGCAAGGTTGGTACATCACAAGTGGGCCATAGGAGCTTGTGCTGTTTGTTCCAGGACTCAATGCTAGAAGATTTCCACTTTCCTGAAATGAATGGTGTAAGGGATCTCCTGAAATAAACACATTCAAATCCCACTGATAGATATTTGCATATTTTGTGTTCTGTCACCAAATAAAAACAATATGATTCTGGTACCAAACCAGTGTCTAGCTTTTTGTTGCTTTTCTCTCATTGTAAGATTTGGCCATGGTTGATCGTCTTCTTCATCGTGTTCCACTGTTTCTCTCAAAGCGTAGAATAACTTTTGGACGCTCCATTCACATTGCTTGGCTGGTAGGGAAAGTGCCTTCCAGCATGTCAAAGTGGTTGATCCCGGCAAATTGAGATAACCTTAGATAGATTCAAATGTTTGCAAAAAGTGGCTTGTTTAGTCAAGAAACCATACCCGCCCCCCATCCATTTCAGATTGGCAACACTCGCTGCTGTAGGGAAATTCCCTAAATGGACAGTCCGTAGGAAAATCCACATCCATGAGCATGGCCGTCAAAAGGAACACGCCGGCATGGCACATTCTAATCCAGTCGGAATGAGTGAAACTGTGAAACTGCGATGCACCTTTATTTCAAGTCAATGACGATTATATTCATAGATAATGAAGAATATTATTGAGCTAAATGAATTTTAATAATCATCATATCAAATGATTTACATATATTATATCAACCGTTGGCATTCCTCAACCACTAATTTTATTGTTCTTTTCATTTGAAGCTCATCAATTCTCTTGAGAACGATGCGGTTTGGGCGGCTTGATGTCACCATGATTCAAACGATTGATTTATAATACACGTCAAAATACAACAAATAAGATACAAATAAGGACAAATAAGGACAAATAAAGTCCCAACAAATAAGAGCAAATAATGGACAAATAAAGCAAAATAATGCAAAATAACGACATTTAATGGCAAATAAAGAAAAATAACAGCATTTAGTGACAAATCATGATATCATATCTAGGCGTCATTCCCCCAAATTTGCCCGGGCTCGTTTTGCCCGGACCATTGACCAGCGATGACATAGGGTAAAGCTTGGGTACCGCTCGGTTTTTGACGAACATAGCCATGTAGAAGCATCGTTTTACGAGGGAGTATAATAGGGACAATGGGGATGACCCCCCAGTAAACGTTTGCATAACTATGGAAAAAAAACAATTTTTAATGGGTAAATCAACTATTTCTATGGCCATTTTCAAGTTCGCAAAGTGTCAGCCATTACCAGAGGCTAATCAAGAATCATCCGCCGTGGGAATCCAAACATCAGGGGTCCCAACAAAAACCACCCTATGGACAGCGGGTGGTTTTCCCCCTAATTTTCATGGGAAAATAAGCCCAGGTAGTTTGACATATGGCACGGTTTTATACGGTTTTGGCATCTACCACGGAGTCATAGATAGCGGGGATGATCAACAAATGGGGAATCCCCAAGCTCGCTGGATGGTTTGTTTCATGGAAAATCTGAAAATCAAATGGATGATTTTTGATGTACCCCCATGTTAGGAAACCTCCATATACAATAAGAAATATGTGATACAAATTCATGTTATCAGATTATCATGTTGCGAGTATGACTAAGAATCGATCATCAACATTATTCGTATACATTTTTACCATTAATTAGTACTAATACATGTATCAGTATTACTAACAGTATCATGTTGCCTTCAAAGAAATAATTGGTGTACCTTCTGGTAAGCAAGCATCATACTGGAACCTGAGAAAATAGAAACAATGCACGTTCCATGATGTTCTCTTCATGTGCTCCGTTCAGCAGATCTGCAAATAGGGATTGTCCAGCACGCCATGTTGGATTGGAAGAACCGTTCTATACACAAAATGATGCACAATTGGAAATGGCTACAATGTGGGGCCCCGAGTTATAAGTTGCTTTATAAACACTATGAAGTATAGTATATAGTATATATATATAGTTATAAGTCCCATGACCCTAGTTATTGGAGTTACAACTTAGCTATCGAACGGCCCTATATATCTAGGCAGCACCACATTGCATATACCCAGCTAAACATGGAGAAGTGGGGATATATCCGATTGAGAAACAGGGACGTAACCAGCAAATGCGAAATGGGTATATACATTTAATATGTCGTATCTCATAATACATGTCGTATCTCATATAGTGCATTTAATAGCGCACATTATTTGTCATAGTCTATTGTATACACATGTTGTTAAAGGGAACGAGATGAAACAACATGTACAGCATGCAGTGTTAAAACAACATGCTGTGACCGCCAAACATTGGCTCAAGCGTATGGAGAAAAGGGATGCGTCGTGTGACTCCGCATGGCATTTGTCGGCTACCAGTAGCAAGGGTACTACAGGTCTGAAATAACATCCAGAACAAGGATCCATTTGTTCACAGGTTATCAGCCGTAGGGCTCACTTCTCCCGTCGGGAGAGTGGTACCTGCGTGCTG